CTCTCTCTCTCTCTCTCTCTCTCTCTCTCTCTCTCTCTCTCTCTCTCTCTCTCTCTCTCTCCTACTACTACTACTACTACTAACCCACTTACCTTGGCGCGACAGCGCAATGGGCGAAGTGAGGCGTCGGGCGGCGGGCGTTGGCGGAGCTCCCATCGAAGTGTGGCGTCGGGACAAGTGCGGCGTCGAGCGGGAAAGCTCACGGGGGAGGGGACAAGGGCCGGTGGTTCCCGCCCTCAGGAATTCGAAATTGCGGCCCATCTGGGCCGTCGATCCTGGAGATCGACGGCGCAGATGGGCCCCGATTTCGAATTCTTGAAATCGGGCGTACCGGCCCTTTTTTTTCAACTTTGTTGGCCTGGACAGCCTCCTTTGGGGGGAAGAAGGCCCCCCGCGTCGAAAACGGCCGAAACCCCCCCCACTTCTGGGATGCGCTGGGGTCGCCCAGTGGCCAACCGGGCGGAACAACCGGCCATGCGGCCCGGGCCCACCCCCGGGCGACCACCAGGCCGCCGGGGAGCCCGGGGACCAGCCTAGGGAAACAGACCAAAACAGCATTTTCTCAGAAATCCACACATGAATGTCAGACTGTGATTTTGTGCTGGTCATTGCACAAGGGAAGATTCTGGCACTGAACGTTTTCCTGTTTGGGTCTGTGTTTTTCCTGCGTGGACTCCTTACTCCTTTCTCCCTGTACCTTGCTGGTTGCTGAATGAAACCCACCTCCAAATGTTGATCTATGCGTCAAAAGCCCAACCGCTGTTGACTGCAACAACATCCAAAGTTTTGCCTCCCTGACTCATTTCCTACCCCTTTTGTATCTCTTTCGATCATTTGCGTAAGCATGTTTGTTCTCAACACCCCCTCAAAGATGTTTAGTATTTAGACTCAGTTATGATGAGTGTAGCTTTTAGTCAGTTCCATCCCCAGAGTGACGCTTCTGACGTGCCAATTCTTGGGTCAATCAATGCCTTGTGTCCTGCGTCTTTCTTGCTGTAGCTTGTGCAAAGGAGGCTTCCACGGGAGGCGCAGGCTGTTGCTTCACGGATGGGAAGATGGAATCTTCAGGTTGGGCGAGCAGCTACAAATGGATGCTGCAGACGTGCTGCTCAAGTGCGTGCTCTTTCCGATGTACTCAGGAGACTTGTGCGCATGAGCGGGCTTTATGATCCCTTTGCGAAGACAGAGATGCCCCTGGTAAGTGCATCCAAGTTGCTGCTTTTCTTCTAGGTTCATGGGCTCTTTGCCCGATTGTATTCGTATCTCGTTCACCCCTCCTTATTTTATTTTGAATAACACCAGGGCACATGTGGGGACAGTCGCCCCTATCCCAAGCATAACTTCTGGTCACCCTGCGCATTCTTCTTTTTTTTTTTCTTTTTTTTTCTTTTTTTTCCGTTATCCCAAGCATAACCTCTGGTCACCATGCGGCGTGCGCATTGTTCTTAGTTCCACATGAGGTCTGAAATACCTTTAACATTTTAGAGATTTATTAGATTGTCTGCTTGTCTGGCGAGCAGTGCAACCGTTTTGAGTGAAGCGAGCGCAATTGGAGTAAGCACACACGTCCAGACCGTTCTCTGCATGTCATCTCCCATCATCTCTTTTTTTCTTCCCCATCTCCCATCATCTCATTAACTGTTGATCTGGAATTCTTCATAACCCCCCTCCTCAACACAAGTAAATTTATTACAATAAATAAGGGAATGAGAATGGCTTCTGTGCAGGCAATCTGGTGCGCTTCCATGTGAATGATCTATCAGGGTCCTATGATGAAATGAAGCAGGAATAAGAATTAAAATTATTAAATCCGTTAAAAAAAAGAAAAAAAACTGTTAACAAATTGGAACGATACAGAGAAGATAAGCATGGTCCCTGCACAAAAAAAAAGAAAATGAAAATGAAAAAATAAGAGATGACTGCAGCTGACCTGGGAAACAGATGGCAATGTGTAAACCAAACGATTAAAACGCCGCTGGAAAAGAAGATGAAGAGGTGGGATAAACGGAACGGTGTGAAATGGGCACAGTCAGTTCAGCCACGGTTCGTTTTTTTTATCGAATGATAAGTTGATAACTCTCACGAGGAGAGATTGAAACCAGAGGGAGGCATACCCGACATATTTTTCGATGGATCTGAACATTGGATGCTCTCAGCAGAAAAATTCATAATATGTATAGGGTTCAGCCTCCTGATGAGTCGGTGAAACTCCGACAAAACAGTTTGTCACAGCCCCTCGTTTCTTGTCATCTTCTCCCTCCCTCTCTGCCCCTACGGTTTACCGGGCCGCTCTGTTTGACGATACATATGCATATCGTCAAACATATATGTATATGTATGTATGTTTAACTAAGCTATATACTTCACTCATATGCCTAACTCTACCTAACTTCTTATCTAAGTCCAGTTTCCAGTATTCCTAAGAGTTATGGGTTGGCACCAACCTCCTCTCGTGTCCTACCAATCCCTACCAGGGGGGGCGAGCTGACTAACTCTGCTTGTGAACCCATAGCAAGCCGCAGGAGGCTGTGGGGCTCGAATGAAGACCGTGGGAAATCGAACCCACAACCTCTTGAATGCCACTTCTGTGCTCTAGCTACTGAGCTAGGCCGGCGGCCCTCTTTTTTTTTTTCCTTTCAATCTCAAAGATTTGCACCATTTCTCGATTTACGCATGTCATCCTTGCACAGGGGCCATGCTAACAATCTTCTTTCTCTGTATCATTCCAATGTTAAACCACCAGTACATGGCCCCAGGCAACTGGAGGCCGAGAGCCGTAGATGAAATGAATCGGCTCGAGGCCTCCGAAAGGGGCCTGTGGCCGATGGCTGGCATGTACTGGTGCTTTAAGGGATGTCGCGAAGGACAAAGGAAAAAAAAGAAAAGTAAATAATAATACTTGAATTTCACAAAATTGGATACTCTCAGCAGCCCCATCCCTGTTCTCTTTTTGTTTTCTGGTTAACCAACCATTAACCATGAGAGCAATCCCTGCTCTCCATAGTCTGGAGGATAAGTGGAAGGAAACATTTAGAGGCACAGCTGAAATGCAATGGGAAGTTTCAAGGCACTAGGGATCTACGGCATTCAAAGGAAACTGAGATTCGAACCTCCACCCATTCCAGGACAGTGTGTGAACTCCTAAGATTGCTGCTTTGACTCCCCACATGTTGTTAATCGAGGTTATCAATCTTTGTTGGTGACCTTGCCTTGTCCAGTGATTGTCCCATGGCTGGTTCTGGCTGCAGTTTTCCATTCTGCGGGGTCGTTATTGATAAGGTTTACGAGTTTTTTATGTCAGCATATTGTGAGCTCCTAGGATTGCTTCTCAGTCTTCCCATGCGTTGTCAAAAATGAGGTCGTCAATCTTTGTTGCTGACCTTACCTTGCCTTGCCTTGCCATGCCTTGCCATGCCTTGCCATGCCTTGCCTTGCCTTGCCGCAAAAAGCCCTGCCGACTGCTTGTGCTATGGCTCCTTTGCACTGCAGTTGTGGCTTTGTGTGGGATGCTTGGTTGATAAGGTTTGCCATTTTGTTGTCAGCAGGGCACCGTAGATCACCACCCTCTCTCTCCCACTCCACCATAGCTCGCAACGGTCAATATTATGGTAAGACTTGACTTGGTTCTCCACCATCAATCACTGCCGTCGATCACCACCGTCAATTCTGATAGGACTTGGATTTCGGTTGTTTTTGCTTGTCGATGGTTTTTTCTTGTCGTCTACCCTTCCGCTCTCTCAGGTTCGTGTTCTTGCAGATATGGAGAGAGCTGGCATCACCGTTGACATGACAGCTTGTCAGCGGCAACAAGTTTGCGTGCGGAAGAGGCTGCGCTCGCTGGAAAGGAGTGCCCATAAATGCGCAGGCGTGTTTTTCTCTCTCTCGAGTACAGCTGAGGTGGCTGATGTATTGTTTAAGCGCCTGCAATTGGCAGAGCCATATCCCCCAAAGAAGACGGCACAGGGGAAAAAAACCCTTCACCCGTGCACTAACCAACGTGTGCTCGAGTCTCTCAAGGGTGCACACCCGGTGGTGAGTATCATCCAGGAGCACCGGAGGTTGGCGAAACTCCTCTGTGGCACTCTTCGCCCGATTGAGATCGCTGCGACAGAATCAAGCCGTAATTGCCAAGGACAACTCAGCACGACCATTTCGCCTTTCAATCGCCGCATCGATCTTGCTGTTAATGGTGCGCTGCAGCGGACAGGAGACAGTAATGAGAATGAATGCCTCGAAGGTGCGAAGGGCAGCGGTCTGCAGAGTGGCCAACGTCAATCATTCACAAGGGGACGCGTCTATGGAACATTATTGCAGACATCAACAGCTACTGGGCGGATATCCATGGAAGATCCAAATCTTCAGGTTTTCCCTATTTATACATGATGTCATGACACATCATCAAACTCTCTGCCCTTCCAACCCTCCTCTACCCCAAAAAATTAAAACCATACCTCCTATGAGTCCTCTTTCTCCTCATCGCCACGCGTTCTGCTTCTCTCTGGGAACCAACCCACCCAAACGTGGGCTTTGTTTCTGTAGGAAGGAACCACACGTTACCAAACCCCTCAAGTACAGAGTGGAGTAGACAAAAGCCACCTTGATTCCCGAGGATCATGCCGACAGCGAATTGTTCCCTTGCTGTTCCTGTGTACTCCGTCGAAGTTATGCTCTCTTGCGATGGGTCCCACATCATGTGTGCAGACCAAATCCACAGTCATTTCAGAGCCTGTACAGACCACAAGGTGACAAAATCCACAGTCGTTTCAAAACCTGTATGATGAGAAATCAACACGAAGGGTAGGGGAAGGAGAGAAAGAGCATTTAATGATTTGATCATTTTGATTTCTCTCTGAACAAATGGTGACCCTGATGATGAATGGCATGAACTACGAGTGCGTGCTCGTTCTTGGTGTAGGCCCAGTTTGAGGGGTATTTGCCAAAAACGACGTCTTTGCCGAACATGAGAACAACGCCGGCAACGCGCGTTCTCAGTTCAGCATGAACAACGAGACCGGTTCTTGTTGTAGGTGCAGTCAATGGTGTACTTGCAAAAAACGATGATGTTGCAATTCACTGCGCCGTCTTTTGTGAATGTGTTCTTTTTCAAATACCCACCAACGCGTTTCTCAGGGAAAGATGTGTGTAGATGTGTGTTCTGGTGCTCTGAATGAGGTGTGGTACACTGTGAAGAATCAAGTAGGAAAACCAAACTGACGAAGTGGGTAAACCGTAAAAGCAATTGCACGAAGTTAAAGCACGGTACAGGAGTACAAGTGATTGCATGTGGCGGCGGGCCAATTCCACAAAGTAGAGCACAGCAGGTGTGCCCAACAAGGAGAATTATCTGAATTACTGTATTTGTCCTCCTAGTAGTGAATGCGGATAGAGGTTTGTGGTTTTCACTCCCAGAGTCATGGTGATGAAGAGTTGTCGAGTTGCACTCTCTCAATTTCTCTGTGAAATGTTGTGGTGGTGATCAAAAGTTGGTAAAAAAAAAGAAAAAGAAAAAAGCTGCTAGAAAAGCTACTGCCAGCAAGTTATCGCGGCACTCCAAGTGCCCAGGTCTCTCACATAAGATGCCTCACAATTGTTTGTTTTAGACTTGTAGTTTTTTTTTGATGCCTCATAATTCTTTTGAAACGTTAGTAAAAGTTTATTGAAAAAGCTTTTTGGTGTTTGTTATTGTTTTTGGAGAATTTTTCCTTGTAGTGGTGGCCTAATTAGGAAATTCGTAACCCTAATTAGGATATTCGACATATTATTCGTTGACGTGAGACTTTGGATTTGTTGGCGACCGTAATTAGGAACTTCGTCGGGGAGTCTTTTGAGACTGTTTTTCTAGCGTTTTTACCTTTGTTGTTTTACACATACTTTTTGAAGTTTTTTAATTACTTTTCTTTTCAGTCTGGAAAGGCTTTTTGCTACAGGGAAGGTGCTCCACCTCACAGAGAAGGATTGGGAGACCTTGCAACCCCTGAATCTGGAACTCTTTTCATCTTGTGTATATTGCCTTGGGCACTGGGCCGTAATAAGAGTGCATCTTCTTAAAAATATATATGTAAAAAAGTTACTGAAAAATGCCCTTCGTTAAAGATGGACATCTGATTTAAATGACCATGAAGGTCATCACATATGGAGCTGGTACGAAAAGGTTCTGTTAAT